CGCCACGCTGGCACGATGTTAGCGCCAGTCCCATTGGCGCTGACAGGAACAACCTCAGCGCCAACCGCTTTGGCGCTGAGCCGACGGTCTATTTTTAGATATAGTTTTTGGCAGGAACTAGTTTTGAAATAAGTTTTCTATAAAGACCAATTTGTAAAAAAAAAGAACGGTTGTATTTGCTTCCTCCGTTAATTTTGTTTCCTGTCTGTGGATCTGTGATGCATACATTCAAGTTATGCCCTGACAGCTGTGGCCAGGCTATGACAAAGAGATGCTTTGTGACGATACATTTAATTGCCGCCGCGATTTGGATCCTATATCATTCACGTAAATAAGACTAACTAAAATTTCTAATATGAATAGTGATAGAGGTTCTGATCTGATTTCATTTGGTTGGCTCAGTGTACAGCTGCCGTCTACGGCGGTCGATTCAGTGAAAAATGACAGGTTCGATCCATAGCTAAATTTTTTAGTAATTTTTAGTTCTTAAGTATGTACCATAAGGTACCAAAAATTTAGTATAAAATTTGGTACCTAGGTATTATGAGGTACCACTTTTTCTATTATAAATTTGGTACCTTCTTACGGACCGTAAAATTACTCTAAATTTTTTTTATTTAGCTAGAACTAGCCAGCACTATACTGATTGTACATTATTTCCTATGGTCGCACACTTTTAGCAGGATAATCACTTATTTCTATGACTAACATCTTGTATATTGATGCATTTATAGCATAGATATGTATGTAAATCCTGCCATGACTCTGAATCCTGGACTCTAAAAGTATCCAGTTGATGTCAATGGGTGTATATGCATATTTCATGATTTTTAAGATTGCTAATGCGATGAAGAATAGAAAAATGGAGGATCTAGCTTCTGAGTTAATAGCTTCTACAATTAGACATAGCCAAATGATGTAAGAACCAAATTTGTTACAGTGTAGTTATTGGCAGAATGAACGTACAAATTTGTCAGTCTTTTCTGCTTCATATAACAGTGGTTTATGCCATTATATGATAGTAGAAATATATAAGGAGAAATAATGTCTAGCTGCGAAGTGCTAAGGTGCCTCTCATTTAAATTACTTCTCATTGGTCAAGCATACACAATAACATGGTATTTGTAGGATTTTACATGCTTGGCAATAGTTGAAAGAACGTGCTCTAGCGAGAGATCATTAGACTAGAATAGTTCATTTCGGTCATGGAACTGTATTTCACCTTCAATGTTACAGTGGTACATATGATTATCATGATCATTTTCCATTTGGTGCTCACGATAATCATAAGCTCACTAGACCGGGCTTATTAGTGAGCGAGCAGCTCATGGATTGGATTGTCAAAACTCATCGGCCAGGCTGACTCCATAATGCTGAGCTAGGCCAACTATCCCAACCTGGTAGCCTATTCTGCTGTGTCTTTTCATTGCGTAAAGCTATCTCGTATTTTGGTTATATAGTCTCTAAAATTGAAATGGAATGGGTGCTGGAACCTTTGGAGTCATGCACGATGTTCATTATAAAATGGATTAAAGTGATAATTTCTTTCTTGGTTAGTTTTTTGTCCAGTTCCATGAAAGGGATCAATTAAGCCACTAAATGGTTGGACAAACTAATTTTCGGAAAAGTGGTCAGTGTTTACATTCTGAACTTCTGACCAGACTGAAGAAACACCGTCTTATTCCAATAATAAGACAGTTCTTCTGCCTCCGACGTTGGCCGCCTTCCAGTTTGCAATATTTTGTTCTTCCTCATCCTATCAGGTTCTGTTCTGTATAGCTATATCTTTCACTGCTACCACTGTTGATGACTTCTTCAGACTCTGAGTTAACGAAAAGTGCAGATCAATTCAGATTTTTATGTTTTCAGGAATCATTCTGGCTGCTCCTGCCCAAGATGCTAGGTGTACATCTACATTAAAGCAGTCAGAGCTGGCTTCCAGTAAGGATTCATCATTTACAATTCATTTACACAAGGTTTATATCCTATGTCTGAAATGAAAATATGTTTTAAACCAGAAAGAATCATTATCTAAAAATAACCAGAAAGAATGGTTATAATTCAAACAATCAATGTCTTTTGTTAGTGAAGTGTGACTAATGAATACAGCATCACTTGTTAGCATGATGTATTTGAGATGATTTTCTTGCATGATCCGTATAGCACAACTAGACACCATCAACTGGTCGTGATCTTGGTGTGTGGGTGGATAAGTGCCTGAACATGTTTGCTATAAGAGCATCGTCAATTTAATTCGACACATGTTGTATTCCAGTGAGAAGTGACTGAACGTATTTTCAGCACACATAAGCTAGGTGGTCCTAGGATGTGTTTTGCCAATTGGTCAGGTATGAGTTCAAATAGTAAGGTGGACTGGTTAATCACAAATGAAATTTTAAGGTGCATCTCAAGCGTTGGCGTGAACAAAAATTCAGAGAAGAGGAAAATTTTTAGTGAAATGGGTAATTTTGTTTCCCTGTATTGATATTTCATTACTCACTGTAAGAGACATGATGGCAAAAAGATAGTTTACTCCTAATGGTTCAAAAAAGGTTTTGGATGCATTGTATGGCACAAAGTGCTTATGGTTAATTAGAGAAAACACAGAAAACTCCTCCCCATCAGAATCGATGAGACGGATGAGTTTAGGCAGGCCACGCACATTGCAAAATGGTTGCATAAACTCGGTGGGCTGCAGATCAAGCCATTCCCAATTGCCTCAACAGAGCAGTTGAAAGGTTATTAATCAATTTTTCTGCACCTCACTGAAATCGTGTATCTTAGCATGTTATAGCTCATGGATTATATAATAAAAGAACTAAATTTCTGTTTTGTCGGTGATTATAATATAGTAATGTAATTGATAATATGAGTACTGTTACAATTTACAGATGGCCAGTTGGAGAAAAATAAACTCAAGGTTTATGACTGCAAAGCATATTGAAGGTGTACACATTAAGATTGTCTGGCAAAGAGGAAAGAAACAGATTAAGATTGTCTGGCAAAGAGGAAAGAAACAGATTAAAGAAAACATAGCATAATTGAAATTGAGATTTTTTTAACAGGGTATTTGCGTTGTTGATCTGTACATGAAATGATATTTATGAATTAAATAAACTTTGAAAAAATTCTAACATAAGTTGGAGGTCCTGAAGTTTAGCGTATTCAATTTTGAGGAACTGTTAAGCCAGGCACCTAAATCTCTCTTTGTAGATCAGGCCTATAACGATTCCTGTATATTTCGTCTTTAGACTGTTTCTCATCTAGATGGGCACTTCTTGAACGGTAAAGTTTCTATTAACAAATTTTACTGGGAATATTATTGTTCAACGAAAAGAAATCTATAGTTTGTTAGTGCGTCATTGAATCAAGTCTTTTTTTAGTTTGCCGATTGAAAGTGGAAGCTATTAAGAGGATCAATGTTCTCTTGACTTTTGTACTCTGTTCAAACAATCATGAAGAGTTTCTTATTATCGCATCTTGGACAAGGTATATGACCAAGTGTGTGTGTGTGTGTGTTTATTGTTGTTACTTGGGGCAGGTTAACTAAAGGGTAACTTCCATTTAGTTCTGCAAATCTACTAATGCAGATGCTGCTTCCACAATACAACTGACTGCTGTATAATCACAGCTAACAAGTAACGTAAAAATGTGTATAGATTTCTTTTTTCTATTCCAGTCAATCATCTTTTTCTTGATCACTGAAGGTACAGTCATTAGCAGGAAATGATCAAGGAAGTTTTGATTAGGTAAATTTCAGTATGGTACATAGTCCTTTTCTTTAGTTCTCTGCATGTCACTCCACCCAGAGAATTTTCAAAATATACCATCCAATACGAACTGCTTTCATGATTTGTCACCTAATTCGCACTACTTTTAGAATACATCACTGGAGTACGAATTTTCTTTGTTCCGTGCCACTTTATCCCCTAGCGTCGGTCGCGCCGTCGTCCTTCATCCTCCCGGCGCCGCCGTCATCCGTCCGCCACTGCTCGCGCCAGCCACGTCGTCGCCCGTCCGTCGTTGCCATCGGCGCACACGGTGGAGGGCCGGAGGAGAGGGGAGCAGCGGTGGAGGACAGAGGGTGTCGAGCTTCGGCAGCGGTGGAAGGCAGAGAGCATCCAGCTCCGTTGTGTGGGTTGCTGATCAGTCGGCGCCCATCGCCGACCATCCTTCCTCCCCGGCTTCCATGCTCGCCATTGCCAGCGACGGCAACCTAGTCTTGTCCGATGGCGCCACCGGCCACGCCCTTTGGAGTACTAACGTCACCGCCGGTGTGAACTCGTCGGCGTCGGGAGGAGGCGGCGGTGCTATGGCGGTGCTCGCAAACTCTAGCAACCTCGTGCTCCGGCTGCCGGATGGCACCGTCTTGTGGGAGACGTTCGAGCACCCCTGCAACACATTCCTGCCCGGCATGAAGATCGGCGTCATCTACCGAACGCGCGGTGGCGTGCGGCTTGTCTCATGGAAGGGCACCACCGACCTGTCGCCGGGGAAATTCTCCTTCGGCGGCGACCCGGACCAGCCGCTTCAGGTGGTCATCTGGAAAGGCTCGCGCGTGTCCTAGCGCACCAACCCATGGGAGGGCTACATGGTGGACAGCAACTACCAGAAGGGCGGGAAGTCGGTGTGGGGAGGGTAGGATGAGCTCGTCGGCATAGGGAAGGACGAGCTCGCCGGCGGCCAGACACGTGGGGGAGGAGGAGCTCGCTGGTGTGGGGAGGACAAGCTCGCTGGCGTGGGGGAGGACGAGCTCGCCAGCAGCCTGATGTGTGTGGGCAAACGGCGCGAGAGGATGAACTGATGACGTGCAGCTTTGGATGGATGGAGTGACACGGAATGAAGAAAATTCACGCTTAAGTAGTGTATCCTTTTCTAAAAGTAGTGTGAATTGGGTGTGCTAACTATTGGGTGGTATATTCTGAAAATTCTCCTCCACTCGATAGAGAGAGAAAAAGGAAGGAAGAGTTTCCCAAAAGGAACCGCTCGTCCAAAATCCAATCTTGTCGCCGCTTCGGGCTTTCGTCTCCACCGCCTTGATGCCGCCCCGGGAGCAGGAGTAGCGGCTCATCGCCAACTACCCTTCTCCGTCGGAGCGTGCGTCGTCGTCACCGGCGATCCCCACCCACCTCCTCACTGCGCCGCCTCGCCGTCCGCCCCTTCTCCACCTTGCCCTCAACCCGCCACAGATCCCTCTCCCTCCCTTCCTCGTCCCCGGCCTTCCTCGCCGCAAACACTGCCCCCTCTTCTCCGCTTTCCTTCCTCCTCTCCACCTCAGCCGCCGGCCACGATCTCAGCCGTGGTGAGCCTCTTTCTGATTCATCTCTCTCTCTGTCTCTCCCGTCGGAACTACTTTTGTCTGGATGTTGCTTGCGTTCGTTCGTTCGTTAACCCTAGCTTCTCTTCTAGATCTGGAAGAGGCTCTTCTTTTAATTTCAGAGCCTTAACCTTAATACAAGTAACAGTTTGGGGGTTCAACTGAACCCCCATGTCCCAAGTTGGATCCGCCCCTGCTCCCATGGTGACATCCCATGAAGATGCTAAGAAGGCGTATGCTGATTTCGAGAAGAAGGTCAAGAGGACCATCTATATTGATCATCTTTCCCCTCAAGTCACGAGCTCAGTACTTAAAGCAGCCCTTGCCCAATGTGCAAATGTTGTCGATGTGGAGTTCATTGTTAATTACACAATCCCGTATGACATTCCTTCTGCTGCATTGGTGGAATTGGATGACGAAATACAAGCTAAGGCTGCACTAGACTTGATGAATGATTTCCCTTTCATAATTGGCGGGATGCCAAGGCCTGTAAGAGCTACATGTGCAAAGCCCGACATGTTTCGGGAACGCCCTCCTTGCCCTGACATCAAGAAAGAGTTCCGGTGGGTAAAACAAGAAGATGGAACAGAGTATGAAGGAATGAAGAAATTGAGGATCCTAGCAAAAAGGCAAGAAGCAGAAAATATGGCACTCATAAAGGTAAATTAGTGACTCCTTTTTAAATGAACTATTTATTTCACTGCTTCTAACCTCTTTTAAGAATCGCCATCTTATGTTTGTTTTATGCTCAGTACGCCTTAAACAGCGTAATTTCTGCCAACCTAAATATGTTTTTGCATGTATGGATATATTTATTCTGAATTATGATCAAGTTTGTTGACCTGGAGGAATGTCTGCATATAACATGCTTAAATTGATTACTGTAATATGCATATAATATGCTTCTTGCAAATTGTAATTTTTTCGCTGGGCCGTTGTAAATTGTAATTTAGAAATGGATAATTGAGTACACATTCTGCATTTAACACGAGTAACTATAACCGTAAGCATGACTGGAGAACTATTATGCGCTTGCCCAGCGTTGTTAGTCCAAGTATTGTGTTTGTAGCAGGACAGTATTTTGGGATCTTGATGCTATTGCTTACCAGGACCAAGTTGCTGTTGCTTTGATCTTGTAACATGGCATTGATGTGTTGTGTTTGTGTTTCTGCCAGAATCAATTGGAAGAGGAGAAGGAGCTGGCAAAGCAGCAGCAGGAATTACTCGATGGAAATTACAAGAAGTACGACATGCTGGAGAATGTCGTACAGAACGGAAACATGAAGAGCCTAGCTCAGCATTATGGAGTCAGCCTGGCCGATGAGTTTTGACAATTCAATCCATGAGCTGCTCGCTCACTAATAAGTCCGGTCTAGTTCCCGGTGCAGCAACATGCCTAATAACCTTTCTCTCTCTCTCTCTCTCTCTCTCTTTCTCTCTCTCTCTAGGCCTTTAGGGCAGTGATAAATCATGTCAATGTGTGAGATGAAATAATAATTGAATGACTGGTTTGAGGCACGCATTAGGCGTGATCAAAGGCATATCCTCTGTGTAAAGATAGTTGCCTGCCTGCTATAATTTATCTGGAGGGGTTATTGACAACAGCACTGGTTTCTTCCTTGTGATTCTCTGACGTCCTGCGAGATGGTTACCATAAGTATGTCTTAATTTATATGGTGAAGCCTGCTTAATTACCAAGCATTGAACTGTGCTGTCGTATACTAGAGCTGATGCATTTCTTGCTTAGTTTCAGAGACTCGTGGATGTACTGATAAGTTACTTCGAGGAGAAGGTATCTGTTGTAGGCCTGACTGAAGTTAGCTGTAGAGTGTATGGAACTGGAAGTCTTAAAATTTTGGGCTTGTTTTTCGGTTTCTAGTGCTAAAGATGATACTTACAATTATGGGTCTTGTATTGATCAGTTGAAAACTCAAGATTATACGTATCAATAATCAGTTGAAAACTCAAGATTGTACTGCACTGATATGAAAAAAGTTAATTTGCATGAGCATAAGGATTAAAATATTGCAGATGCAACTCATCAAATTTTAATAAGCCTGACTACATAGCACTGATTGTTCATTGTGAGCATGACTTCATTGTAGCAGATTACTTACAGCTTACCTAGAAAATGATTAGAGAAAGATAGAGAGTGGAATTTGCCACACATATACCTCTGATGAACTCAATATAGCAGCTCTGAGTCCTTTTTGTTCAGATTAAAGGAAGGAATCCACAAAGAATCAATATAGCAGCTCTGAGTCCTTTTTATTCAGATTAAAGGAAGGAATCCACAAAGAAGCACTGCAATGTTAAACAACCCGGCGGATCAAGAGCATGTTTGGTTGGTGCCCTCACAACCGTGCCTGATAAATTCGCACACCTGAGTGGCATGTAAGAAGAGAACAAATGTTGCCTGGTCAGGCAGCCTGAGTATTTACTTGTTTGGTTGGTCGCTGCTGCCTGAGGAACAAAATCGTGGTTATGCATTTCATCATTATATTCCTAACTCAGGTATTAATCCATCTACTATCCAACTTCCCATGCACAAACCAATCCAAGTTCCCATGCGCAAATCAATTGCATACATGATGAAGGAAATTTTTTTTTTTAAAAAAAAGAACGGAAGGAAAGAGTTAAAGAACTCCCAAATCCAAATGCATCAAGCACAACCTTTAGATGATTTCTCCTAGATCCATGCCTGCATGCAACGATCTGCATATTAATATACTTATTCAAGGAGAGGAGAGAGCCAATCGTGGCAGGCATACATGATGAAGGAAAAAAAAGAAAGAGTTGAAGAACTCCCAAATCTACATGCATCAAAGAGTTAAAGAACACCTACATGCAACGATCACACCGCGACGGCGACAACAGCTTCATGCGAATGGCGAGATGCAGGGAAGCGGCAACAATGGCAGGATCCAGCAAATCCCCAAGCCTCGACGGCGGTGGGCACAAATGAAGATCACAAATGGTATACCAGCGACGAGTAGAATTGCTTTAATTTTTCTTAAAATTATTATGTTGAAAATTTTCAAACCTATCAACTTTACCATTTGGTACTTTCTTTAAGAAGTTCGCCTATTATCACTATGGCATAATATTTAATAAATAAATTATCAAGGTTACATTATTATTCATAAATAAAATGAGTTTTGGTAAAAGAAAATTTTAAAAAAACTGCAATATTCATCCATCAAGTTGTGACTATAAAAAAAAAGAAGAAAATTACATTTTATTTTGAAACCAAACCAGCCTAAAGCCACTGTTATTATTATAGATAGAAAAACATTGTACATTATTTACAGAAATAGACAAAAAAAAAAAGACCAACAGGATAGAGGATGTCTTGGCGTCAAAACATGCTTAATCCCAAGCAGATTAAAGAAAAATACTTCTCCACATCAAACCAGCAACACCAACAGAAACTAATTTTTACATATAGCAATGCAAACCAATGATCACCCACTTGACTATAAGCTATCTATACATTTCTTTACTTCTCTTACCGCTCACAGTACAAGCACAAAACTGATAGGCCATCTCAACAGCTGCTACAACACAAATGAGTAAATGAGCATTGCTGATAGGATCGATAGCAAATGATGTTATGATGATATTGTTGATTCAGGTGTTCCCTAACCTGCTAGACACGACCCCTTTTGCTAGATTCAAGTTTAGTTCCAAAAATTTTCTTTAAACTTCCAACTTTTTCATCACATCAAAATTTTCCTACACACATAAAATTCTAACTTTTCCGTCGCATCATTCTAATTTCAACTAAACTTACAATTTTGGCGTGAACTAAACACACCCTAACCAGTCTTCTCGCGTCCTTGCAGCAACATCAAGTTACTGATGATTGCCCGTTCGCTAGCACAAAATCCCTAATCCCACATAAACACCTACAATCAAAATACATCTAATAAGAATACATGTCCGAATACTTCAATTCCTTATTAAGCATCAACTATGGACTATTGCAGCTCACGAATTTTAGCGTTAATATCATCAAGAAGAGACATACCGGCATTAGAAAATCCAATATTGGATAGGTTAGCTTGTATTCAATATTGGATATGTCATTGATTAAAGGTCAAATGCCAATTGTGATATGCCACTTGCAAAGTCTGAGTTGCAAACTACTCCGTATAATACTATTGGTTAATTTATTTTATTCCTTGCTAGCTATTTGTCGTCCGTTTTGTTCCTAGTAGGTGAAGAGGTCCGATGTATTTTTTTTCTTTGTAAATAAATAATAAAATACTCCGTATCAGAATTGAGATGATATGCCATTTGTGCACACGTACGCGTGTGGGCCACTTTGGGCAGATGGGCCATGCACTGCACATCGGCCCAGCCAGTGTCCTCCCTCATTCTGCTCTGCCTGATTCTCTTAGGTTGGATACTCCATATATTTGGAGTAGCTAATTATTGAAGCAGACGTTGATTAGTTCAAGAAGCACTGATGAAACACAGAGTGTTTCTAGGCCAGTAGGCCCTCTGGCCCAATCAAGTGATGGCTCAATCATACATCAAAGTTAATACTACTAACTAATACTAAGTTGTATTCTAAGAGCAAGTTTAATAGTACAGCCAACTACTAGCTTCAATTCATATATAGCCAATCTAATAGCTCATTCATACAATAATTACATACTACATTATTAATACTTGGTCCCACCTATCATACACACACTGTGTCTTAGAGTCCGTACTAGAGCTGGCTACAAATCTGTTTACTCTTCTTATTTATCTCCCTAAAATATGTTTGCAGCTGGTTTATAGCCCGCTATTGCACTTGCTCTTAGACTTTAGAGCAGGTACAATAGCAGGCTATAAGCCAGCTATAAACATATTTTAAGGAGATAATAGAGAAGAGAGAAAAGCAGCGGGCTATAGATTTATAGCCAGCTGTAGCACGGACTCTAAGACGCAGTGTATGTATGACAAGTGGGACCATGTATTAATAGTGTAGTATGTAACTATTGTATGAATTGGCTACTAAGTTGACTATAGGTGATTTGAAGATAGTAGTTGGCTATACTATTAAACTTGCTCTTAGAGCAAGTATAATAGAAAGCTATAAGAAGACTGAATGCTGAGGTGGATAAAAGGGGAGAGGAGAGAGAGGGGAAGCGTGTGGTAAGCTTACAGCTGGATTAGGCACAAGAACCAAAAAAAATCTGTGAAAGAGACATGTGGACCATATATTAATAGTTAAGAGCTAACCACTATATAAGTGGGCTGAGAGATAGACTGTAAAGATTAGCTGCCTGTATTATTAGTCTTGCTCTTACTAGCGCTCGACGCTGAGCTCGGGTTAACATAGTAGCGCGTCTCTAGCCACGACTAGCAATCCCAACTACCGTTTCCTTGTGCTCTAATCACGTCAGTTATTTTTTTACTAGAAAGATCACGTCTATTTATACTATTCTACGGCACGGTAACAACCATCCCTCCCCTAACAGAATATACACATTGTCACGAGATTTTAAAGAACAAGAAAGTTAACGGTTACCACAAAAGAAAAAAAAAGATGCAATGCAAGAAACAAAACAATGCTTTGGCCTCCATCAGTTATCCATGAGTTAATTATAAGCCAAAACAGCTTATTAGCAAAAAAAATTTGTACTAGTAAAACTTTTATATTTTTCATATTTTTCTTAGTTACTTAAAAGCCAAGGCTAACTACAAGCATTGAAGATGTCTTAAAATTAATTTTTGAATTTAAAATTTTAGCCACGGTTAATTCCATATAGGACCAATGATGAGGCTGTTTGACTTGATGCGATTGAAAATGTAACAAGATTATTACCAACTCAGAGAATCTGGTAACTGCCAGCACCAGCTAAGGTCATATATATATATATATATATATATATATATATATATATATATATATATGACGCCCTCTATGACGACTCTTCCGTACACCCAGGTGTATGTACTCCCTCTTATTAGTGGATGATCCATTAGCATTCAAATTAGCCATGAAAAAGAATAAAATTATTAATTTCCAAAACACCGCATGCATGTGGCCTAGCTGCCCAGCGGATTTGGTGCAAATTTGAACGAGGGCGTTGGCATGCATTTGCTTTCAAATTTGATAACGTGCCTTAGTTATACTCTCTTTTCTAGTAAGCAACAGTATATACTGTTTTTTAGGCTAGTATATATACTGATGAGCAGTAGTATATATATACTAGTTTTTTTTATTAGCAGTACATGGTAAGGATTACCTTATATTTTTGTTGTAGCAGTGTATACTTCTTTTTCTTAGCAGTCGTATATACTTACTTCAGAATCAACTAGTATATATACTGATTATTTCTTTTTTTAATGGTACGTGCAGTATATACTGTTGGAACGACGACTGAATGAGTAGTATATACTGATTTTTCTTGGAATGAGTATATACTGATTTTTTTGGAACGAGTGAGTATATACTGAATTTTTTTGGAATGATTAGAGAAATCCGATTATAAACATTGTAGTATATACTTTTTCCCACTTAGTAGTAGTAGTATAAACTTTACTCGTTTTACTTAATTATAGCAGCACATACTAATTTTCTTTTGGTTCAGTATATACTGATTTATTCTCCGAAAGAGTATGTACTGATTTCTTTCCCAAAGTATATATATGAATGTACACATGTACATGCTTTCTGCATACTCTAGTAGCAATGTAGTATATATAGTATGTTCACATACTCTTATAAGTATATACTATTTACTGTTTATTGGAACAGTATGTACTGTTTTGTTACAAGTATATGCTACTTATTCCTTTGAACAGTATATACTGTTTTCTTGAATTTTCTGGCCAGTATATACTACATTAGTATTGACGGAGCATATACTAGTTTTTTCTTAATTTGGTCAGTATATGCTGCTATACTTTTGTTCGGTCACTATATACTGCATCTCATCGCTAAAGGAGATAATACTGCTTTCTTGTTTGCTCAGTATCTG